CATATTGCTAGCTGGCCCTTCTAGCTTGATGTCAAATTCAGTAAACTCACTCCTCTTAGTTAACATTTTTGAAATATAAACAGTTAATTTAACAATGATGTCTGTAAAATATGGTAATATTTACCCATGAGGTGCAGATGGTTAGAGATGTCCTAGGCTGGTCGCTTCCAGGTATTTCTACTTTTTTTAAAAAATATATCTTTATTGATTTCAGAGAGAGGAAGGAAGAGAGAGAGAGAAACATCAATGATGAGTCATTGATCGGCTGCCTCCTGCACACCCCCTACTGGGGATCCAGCCTATAGCCCAGGCATGTGCCCTTACCGGGAATCAAACCGGGATGTCCTGGATCATAGGTCGATGCTCTACCACTAGCCATGCTGGCCATGCCAGATATTTCTACTTTTATGAGATTTAAAAGTTACAGTGACACTTCAGTATCGTCTTAGCATCACCCAGTCATCAAAGGTGCTTATCTTTTCTAGGTATTAGGAACTTAATCAAAGGTTCTTTAGGTCTCTACTGGTTTGGGCCAATATTTTTTAATCCTAATTATTGGAATTGAGGAATTGTAAATATTGTGCAATTAAAACAGGAATTGGTAAGGCAAACTACCCTGTGCTGAATCTCAGCTGCACATTCCAATGACTTAGAAATTGGCACAGTCTAACGAAATTGAACAAAAGTAGCAAAAAGCACACAGGACAAAGTTAAATGATGACAATGAGAAAAGTGGTGGGTCTGTTAATTCCAATGATACAACATTATAAATGAATTAACACAATTCTTATACTTCTTCTCTTTCCTTCCCAGTTAAATGGATTGGTGTAGGGAAATCCAGAGAGTCTATGATTCAGCTCTTCTAAGGGTTTCCAGTTATGCAAGAAACACTCCTTGAGAGGGGGGAAAAGGACTTTCTTAACTATGTCATTTATGATCTACAAATTTCAAGAATAAAGACATTGATATGAGTTGTAAGCCCTACAGTTGTTTCCAGTCTTTGAGATGGATGGCTGGTGTGGAGGTAAGCCTCGGCATATTCCAGTGTCGGCCTCCTTGGCTGGCATAATTGCCGAAATCATCTGTTGCTCCTGCTGCTCATGGTGCCACGTTTTCTTTAATGTTTAGTAATAGTATAATCCATGTTGTTTGAAATCTAAAATAGAATGACTTTCAATGTAGTTTTTCTTTATTATTGTCCTTGTGTGTTCATAGGTTTTACCTCTATTAAATGGTAAGAACAATTAATGCAGTTTTGCACAAATATTTTTACATTCTGATCATTCAGTTCTGTCATTATAATCTTTGCTGTTAGAAAAAATGATAAGAGAGGAGTTCTGTAAACTTTTGTAATGCTATGAATTTTGTTTGTGAACTGTTTATTTTCTGCTGAGACCATTGCAAATTTGAGCTTTGGCGGGGGGAGGGTGATATATTCATGGGTCCTTTAATTTGTACAGAACACAAAACTTATTTCTCTCTATAAATTATTTAATACACTGAACATTTAATTAAATGTTCAAAGAGAAAAGGTGTTCCCTAAAACAATACTCTTAATGTTAAAAAATAGTCATTAAAAGATCTATTGTGATATTTGGTGAATATTTTCCTTTAATTTCAGATATTAACTCTGAGGTGTATAGCTTTCCTATTTTATCTTACCATTATTTCTAAATCTAGTGGATTGATTTTTCAACATTGTGCCTGCCAGTATGCCTACAAAATCATCTGTAAGTGTCCAAACGAACCCAAATTGTTGGTCATGCCTTTGTTTCTTTTTTCTTTGGGGGGGGAAAAAAAGGTGTTATTTTAACAATTAGGCTTTAACATATTGTGTTATAGATTATCCTTCAGTGAAATATTTTGAATGTTTAAATTAGGTGCCACTTAAATTTATTTTATTATACCATCAATAGCTGATTAAAAAGAACCAGATATTTCTAGTATACTTTGTGTATTGTTTTTTTTCTGCTAAGAGAAGTAATGGTAATACTGGGGTATACAAGAAGGAGCTATATCCCTGCAGTATTGGGGATAAGGTGTGGAGAGATCAAAAAAGGAATCTTTGAAAACATCTAAATACCCTTTATCTTCACTGTATATTTTTATTTATACTTAAAAATGTCAAAACAAGAGCAACCTTGTTGGATTCAATAAATAAAAATAGTACAGATGATCTTACAAGCCCACTACTGATCAACAATCATCTTTACATAAAATAATTTATACTTAATATAGAATAAGTAATTTTTTCTTATTCTGATGGAAGTTGAATTGGCTTTTATTCTTCCCCTTCCATCTTCCTACTTGGCCTTCAGATTAGATGAGCTGCACAGAGATGAGAGCCCTGTTAGACTAAGCCTGTTAAAGCCGACATTCTCACCTGGCTTATTGAGTATTGCCTTATTGAAACGTTTTTAGCAGTGGTCCAGAAGCAGATACAAAGAACCCATTCTTTGAGTCAGAAGTGCTCTTATTTTTTACCAAAAAGTGTAATTCTCATATTGATGTTGATATTTCTTCCTTTTTGACCAGTTTGAATGACACTCCCATTTCTCTGTAAAAGTGAACTGTTTGCTGATTAAATTGGTTAAGAGAGAGGATCCATTTTTCAGATATCCTTCAGTCTTTAAAATAATAGATAACTATTAAAATATTAAATCTTTAGCCCAGCTGGGCGTGGCTCAGCAGTTGAACGTTGGCCTAGGATCCAGGCAATCAAAGTTCGATTCCCTGTCAGGGCACATGCCTGGTTGCGGGCTCCATCAATGACTCTCTCATCATTGATGTTTCTGTCTCTCACTCTCCCTCTCCTTTCCTCTCTCTGAAATCAATAAAGAAATATTTAAAATAATAATAATAATAAAAATCTTTATCTACAGTAGTCCCTCCTTTATCCATAGGGGATGAATTGTAAGAGCCCTAGTGGGTGCCTGAAACCATGGCTACTACCAAACTATATATACTATGTTTTTTCCTACACATACATGTCTATGATAAAATTTAGTTTATATATTAGGCACAGTAAGAGATCAACAATAACTAGTAATGAAACAATTATAACAACATACTGTGTGTAATAAAAGTTATGAGAACATGGTGTCTCTTACAAAATATCTTACTCTACTGTCCTCACCCTTCTTGTGATGATGTGAGACGATACAGTGCCTATGTGATGAGATGAAATGAGGTGGCTACACTGGACAAAGGGCTGATTTGTGGGATGGCATGAGGTTTCGTCACGTTACTCAGAATGGTGTGCAATTTAGAACACGAATTGTTTATTTCTGGAATAAGCTTATGAATTGTTTATTTCTGGAATTTTTCATTTAATACTTTTAGACCACAGTTGACCATGGGTAACTGAAACTGCAGAAAGTGAAACTGTGGGTAAGGGGGGGGTCTACTGTATGCTTGGTTCTGCAAGTGATGTTAGGTGCTACAGTGGGAAAATACAGCAGCTACGAAGGAGAACCTAATCTAAATTCGGGAAGGGTCAGAGAAGGCCTTCAGTAGGAATACATTTAAACAGACCAAGGGATGCGTAGTCAGAGGGACACTGTGCAAAGGCCAGAGGCTGGAAAAGGTTTGGGAAGTTGGAGCAACTGAACAAAATGAGCGAGGGGCTGGTGAGGCTGATGTGGGTCAAGAAATTGGAGGCAGAGTAAGCCAAACGTACAAAACATGTTTCGTATGAAAGAGGACTGTGCCAGAATGTGATACATGCTTAGGGAGGCATAATTGAGAGCACAGAAAAATTGCTGAGACAAAAAACATGGGCTCCTAATTTTAAAATTCTACATGGCAGAACAAGACATTTCAGTGGGGGAGGGCCTATGTAGTATATATTTCGTATATGTTAACTGATTAATATAGTTACATAGGAGTGCCAGTCCTAAAAATTATACCTTAATAAATTCCAAATATATGAAGCAAACGTTGATAGATTTAAAGGTGAAAATAGTTCTACAATATCAGTTGGAGACATCAATGCCCCGCTTTCAATAACTCATACAACATTAGAAGATTAATAAGGAAACAGACTTGAACAACACTATAAAGAAACTAGACCTAACAGATACTAATACAACACTCCACCAAAAAATAGCAGGATATAGGTTCTTCCCAAGTTCACATGGAACATTCTCCAGGAGAGACCACATATTAGGTCACAAAACAAGTCTCAGATTTAAAAATACTGAAACCCTACAAAGTATCTTCTTAGATCACAATGGCATGATGCTAGAAATCAGTAACAAAAGGGGAACTGGGAGGCTTCTGGTTCTAAGCTCTGAAAATGGTTTCTTGATAATTTCCTTTAATTTTCTCTGTTGTGTCTCTAGAATGCTTATGAGTGAGATGATGGACCTCCTGAATTGCTCTACATTTCTTCCTTTAAAAAAATCTTTTTATTTGCCTTCCTCTTCTGTAAGAGTTTTTCAGAATTTTCTCCCAATCCTGTCAAATTATTTTAGGAATCAGATTTTTATTTTCAAAAGCTTTGTTTGTAAAGGTTGCTTTTTCATGTTTATGGATGTAGTTATTTTGAAACATTCCCTGTCCAGTGATAAAGTTATTTTTGTTGGCGTGTTTGGGGTTCTTTGGTGTTCCCTGAATTCTCTTTCCTCTGGGATCATTTCTTCTGTTTATCTTGGTCTTTGTCTTTCTTTCTTTGTCATGTATTTTTTTTTTTTCAACTCTGGTGACCCTTGGTTGGCTCTTTACAACTAAAAATGAAAATGTGTATGAAACTGTTCTTAGGGGAAGCTTGTGGACTGGTAGGCTTCGCTTTGGGGTGTTGAGTGGGAACCAACTAGTATGATGGAGTCCCAGGGGCCAGAATGTAGGATGCTTTACTTTGGGATCATTTCATTTCTTTAGGGAAGACCCTCTAGCTTTTGGCCTGGGGAGTTGACGGCTAGTTGTCAGGCTTTCTTCTCTCCAAGGTAGGGGTGGCAACTCATCTGTACACTGACTCTCAATAAATTCTTTTTTTACCAGTCTCACATCTCACTACAGTCCTATGCCATGTCTGGGTTTCTGCAGCCAGAGCACCTTCAGGGTCTTCTTCCTCCTTGGCCACATCCCCAGGTTTATTTTTTTCTCCAGTGATGCAGTTATCGAGTAGATGAAATGGTATTTTTACCTGGTCCCACGTATAACCATTGGACTAAATAAATGTAGGATTGTTTACCAGCACCAGCAGCAAGACTTGTAGAGGGGCTGAGAACAGATAACAAGTCCTCGTAAGGCTGCGTCTGGATTCCTTGCCCTAGGCTGACCAACTTAATCTGAAAAGAATTCACAACATGTAAATATTTTAGGGTTGTAGCCATCTGGATACACACTTAAATTAAAAATAGTTCTGTTATCATTATTTTAGTCTAAAAGAGTCACCTAAGAATGCCAAACATTGTTCTGTTCAAACACCGTAGTTATTTAGTTTGAAAGCTTTTATTTCAACGCCACCTCTCTTCACGACAGTAGAACTCAGGCAGTGAGTTGATCGGTCTAGGATTCGATGAAACTGTGGCTAATTTCTTGTCCCAATCTGGAATTTAAAACAAGTTAATGATTTAAAACTAGTCCTACATTTTAACTCACTGTCGTTTCAACAGCAGTTGGGTACAATAACAAAAAATGTGTGGGATTTAAGACAAAGGAATATGTTTAAAAGCTATGTTAGAAAGGACTCAGACAAAGAGTTATGTGGTGGAATCACTGATTCATATTACTGAATTGTGCAAAAATGTAAATAAAATAAATCACATAATTTTGCATTGTGACATCCTAATTGTAGACCCCCCCACACTGAAACCCTTTAAGCCTCACATTATAAATGGGCCACTTCGTCTTCTGTTTGTATCAAACTGCAGTTATTACCATCCCTAAGTTCATACCCATTGGAGCTCCCTCGTATCTTATAGCCTCTTTTCTATAATCACTAACAGCTCTGCTTATGTAAAAGTGAGGGTTCAAGGAGGGATGGGGGGGAAGAGAGCAGCCAGTGCATCTATGCTTAATGAACCATAGACCAGAGCGTTTTGCCCAGCCAGTGTGGCTCAGTGGTTGAGCATCAACCTAGGATCCAGGAGATCGGTTTTTGATTCCCGGTCAGGGCACATGCCCGGTTTTCGGGCTTGGTCCCCAGTCGGGGGCGTGCAGGTGGTGGCTGATCAATGACTCATCATTGATGTTTCTCTCTCCCTCTCCCTTCCCCTCTCTCAAATCAATAAAGACATTAAAAAACAAGAAGACCAGAGCATTTCAATTGCAGCCTTGTAACAAGACTTCATACGTACAGTGCTGTGCACTGCATTAGGTGTTTTGCTTACATTAACTCTAATATTCACAGTAACCCTCAACAAAAATAAAATGAACAGAGAAAATTTCACCTTCTCTCTGAAAAATCCCAAGTATTCCAAAGCCATTAATGATTTAGTATCAGTTAATATCACTTTGAACAATTTAAGAGATTTTCAAGGGTAACTTTGATTATACGTGATAATTATCTTATGCATTGGTTTTAGAACTTAATCCCAGTATAAAATGCAATTCTTTTGTTTTAGGTTCTTTAAAGAAATATTATGACGCATTTACTTTTGATCAAGAATAATAGCAAACATTTTTGAAGACTTAATAATGTAAGCTTCAATAATTCTAAATTATTTATATGGATATTTCAGTTCTACTGGGCAGATAACTATTTTTATTCTTTTTTGCAAATGAGAAAACTGAAGGTCAGGGAGTGTAAGGCCTCACACTGCCACAAAAGCATGTATTTATTTTGAAAGAATGAGTTGTTTGAACTACTTGGCGCCAGGTGAGTAATACAAGGGCAGCTTCCATTGGAGGGGCCGTCTCTTCCTTCCAGGCTATAAATTCTCGGAGGACAGTTCATACCTTCCACTGTGTCTCGCACATAGTCGGGGCTTAATAAATGTTTCCTGAATAAATAAATGAACCCCTAGGTGCTGAGAAAGATTTTTTCCTGAGCAAGAATTTCTTAAGCAATCACCTTGCTCTATTATGATTTATATTTAATCTGTTCTTCAACAATTCCCAAGTAAGAGCTGAACATGAAAAGCAGATCATTGCTAATCTAGACATGCTTTGCCCTTAAAGCCTGGTCACAAAGGCTGGTCAAAAGCCGGTCAAATTAAAAAAACTTACACCTTAATAAACTTATTCTGTGAAGAGCCCTTCCCCCAAAGACTCTGTCGAGGAGTCAGCTTCTTGATTTAAGCAAATGCTTAATTCTGTGCCTGCCTTTTTCTCTGTCTTTGGACCCCTGCTACCACCCACTGGCTGCTAAACTTGGCTGCACGATGGGATTATCTGGGAAGTTCTAAAAATTACTGATGCCCGGGACCCCCCTTCCAGGAGATTCTGATTTAATTGGTATTGGGTGTGTCCTGGGCATGTGGATTTTTGAAAGTGACGTAGCTGAGGTTGAGAACCTTTAGCCTAACCCTGCCATTACCTCCTTTCTCTGCATTGGATCTTTGTCGAAGTCTGCTCCCCACTCTGCCCCCTTCTCGTCTCCTGTTAGAGTGACCTTTGCACAAAGCAGTTTTAATCATGTCACCTCTGCCCTCCTTAAAGCCTTTAAGGAGTTTCCCCTTAACCTCAGGCAAGAGGCCCAAACCTGGAAATGGCCTGTAAAGCCCTCGCCCTTTCTGAGCTTGCCAGCTCCAGCCGCACCCTGCTCCGCCCCTGCTGACTTTGTGCGGGAGGCACACTGTTATTTTTTCCGTTCCTCAAATGTCATGCTCCTGTCACGGGGCCTTTGTACATGCTGTGCTCTCTGGGAAGCTCCTCCCCCCACCCCTGGCCTAGGTTTCCTTAGGGAAGCCTCAGACCTATCATGTGCTCCTGTAGCAACACATAAACTGCTTCATGGCTTTTATGGCAGGTGGAATGTTATCTTCTTTCTATGCTGGTTACCCACTGAAGCTCCCTGGTTATAGAAATTTCGTGTCTATTTTTGTTTCACATGGTATTGCCAAAGCCTTGCACGCCGACTCGCAGATCAGTAGGCTTTCATTATTTACTGGAGGAATAGAAATGCACTTGACATCAAGTCTTATCATCAAATCCAATTGATGTCACCTCCAAAATATCTCTGGAATCCGTTTATTTCTGTCACCTTCCCTGCGGGGCCAGACCACCATCACCTCTGGTCTAAATGATGAACTAGCTCCTTCCCTCCTGTTCCTTTCCAAACAGTGCTGAACAAGCAGTCAGTCATCTTTTTAAAGGACAAATTATATGTCACTTCTCTGTTCAAAGCCCTCCCCATTGACTGTAGAGTAGAATCCGAGCATCTTACCCCTCGCCCCCTCTCTGACCACCCACCAGACGAAGCTGACCTTTCTCCAACATGCCAAGCCCTCTCCACCTTTCAAGCTTTTGCACTTAACTGTTCCTTTTGCCTTTACCTGGTTCATTCTTATTTTCCAGGGCCTAGCTGAAATTGTACGGGGGTTCTGACTGCACTATGCTAAGGACTGAGTAGATGGTAAATATTTAACTGCTTTGCTAAACATTCACCTGGTTCTATAGGTTTCAAAAGAATTAGATTTTGTCTTCTATAATAAGCGAGGGAGAAAACCTTTTGTGTCTGTCTTTCTAAAAAGATTTCCTCATAGCAGAGGACTGTTAACAAAGGTCCTGTTTACCGTCACTTTGGAAACCAGAGGCCCGCCTAGATTCTTCCATTTAAAGGAAATGGTTCAAAGGACAAACTGCTGAGCCAGTTCTGTGGGGACAGGAGCTCTGTTGAGTCTTCCTGAGCACCTCTCCTTTCAACCCTCCGCGGCCCCCAGCAGCCTTTACTCTCCCAACCCTCACACATCCTTCAGCCACAACCTAGGCCCCCGCCACGCTGGCTTCCTAGAATGTGACCCTCCCAAGGCCTGCTATTGCTTCTCCCAGCACCTCTTTCCCTACATGACCTAATCACAGCCCCAGCCTCCTCTCCATTCCCCCAGCTCCCTCCCTTCTCAGGCTCTACCCCTCTCACCTTCCAGAACCCAGCTTTGCCCGGCCTGTAACCTCTCATCCTGAATCTCTGGTCCCAGCACAGCTTCCTCCATTGCCACGCCCACCCCTGGCTCGGTTCTGCTCACGCTTCCTCATTGCTGTTTGCTGTTCCTTTGGGACCTGAGTCCCAGCCCTGCGCTGCCATTCGCCAGGGCTAATTCACTTTAAAGAAAAGTACTGACTAAATAGTAGTGCAAGTGACATTCAGCTTTGACAGCAGCAGCATAGCTTCAAGGTCAAGTGCAGAACTTGGCCCGGGCCTAAATTCTGGGTCTGAAATGTCCTGGGTCTGCATTCTGCTACTCCTGCCTTCTGCAGTGGGATTTGGGCTAATCAACTTTCTCTGCAACGTGGTGTCCCCCATGGAAAATGCGCAAAACAATAGCATGTACCTGCCTCAGTGTGAGACTCACAGAAACTGCAGGATTCATTCATTCACTTAAAAAGCCTTTCAAAGAACTAATTCATTCTACTCACTAAAATCCAAAGCATCAGTGACTACAGGAATACAGGCATGTTTAACTGGGTTTCTGGGTGACCCCCCCACTGGGCATTTCCATGGGGGAACCTGGCCCCTCAGCACTCTCGCACATTCTGCCACATAGAGAAATACTACATAAAGAATTTGGAAATCTTGAAAGATGCCTCCAAATGTCAAAGGCCACAGAGGGTTCAGTGAGGAGTGGTCAGACCTGAGCTGCTTCCCCTCAAGGACATTTATGCATCTTCATTCCTGAAGCCTATACAGGGAGCTAGGAAAGGAGGAAGCAGCCCTTGGGGAGCCCTCTATAGTCTTCCTGCGCCTGGACACACGCCTCCCCCCCAACAGCCTGACTGGTCCCAGACGCGCGGGGCCCGCAAGCCCCTGGGAGTTGCTTCTCTGCGGCCCAGGCAGGGTTGATCTCGGAGAACAAGAGCTGCCGACCTGACTTACCCATCGTGAAAAATGGCAGAGAATAGTCCCTCTGGTAGGTGGTTTCTTTATACCATGGTTCGGGAGGCTTGGAATGTCTTTGAAAACAAATGTAGCGAATCAGAGTTTGTTGGTCTGGCTGAGGCTGATGCTGACTTTCTCTCGCGGGTGGAATTGCCAAGTCTACGCGAGGTCTGAATGGAAGTAGAAACAGCTTGCTGAACACCCAAAGAAGAGCATTCTATCTGCTCATCAGCTGAAGTCCGACTCCTGGGAATGGCCAGGAGGCTACCAAGACAGTGCTGGCAAGACCCCCTAGATCCAAGGCCAGCCCTAACCAAGTTGTCAGTAGACGGCCATGAGCAGCTCTGGCAGTGGGGGTCTGTCGCCTGTTTTCTTGAGGACGTAACCCTAACGAGAGTTTAATTTGAGTGTGTATTTGAGTTGGAGCAAAGGGCTTTGAACTGGGACTCAGAAAATGTGGGTAGATTCCAGTCTCAGTTTTACGCCAACCAACTGGACCCCAGGCAAGACATGTCACTTCTCTGGGCGGCATCTGACTCGCCTAACGGGATCAGACTGACCTAAAACGACTTCCAGTGTGATCATCTAGTCAGTTTAGACTCTATGCTGCTTAATAGATGCCACGGCTCCCTTGTCTTTGCCTGGAGGGTAATCAGGAGTTGACTGTATATCAAAGGCGATTAAGAGAAAAAGAAGAATTTGTAAAATGTACCAGATGAACTCAGACTAATGGCAATCACATTTCCAGTGCCTACCCTGCTCTGGAATTTGATGTCAATTATTTTGTTTAACAGATAAGAAAACTGAAACTCGGAGAAGGAATGAAAATTGCCCAAGATCAAACATTTCATAAGTTACTCAAATTGCTGCTTTTAACTACCATGGTTTCTAGTCTCTACAAACTTGAACACAACATCGGAGTATCTTTTTGTTGTTGGTCTTGAGGCAGAAACCATTTAGGCCAAATTTGTAATTTTAATGAGAAGAAAACTGAGACTCGGGAAGGTTAAATTATTTGGCTAAGTTAAAACTCTAAACCCATGGTGTTTACATCTCTTAGATAATTTATTAAAATTCCATTTTTATTGCTGATTATAAAAGTAATATATGTTCATTAGAGAAAAGCTGGAAAATAAAATACAAATACCAATAATTTCACCATAAATAACTGTTGGGTGTATTTCTTTCCAAACTTTTTCTATCTGTTAAATAACTATTATTATTGTTCTCATTTGCATTATTACAAAATGTGACTCCCATTTTCAAAAATTTATCATTCTAACTTTAGTGTAACTAGTTAGGTGTCTCACCTGGGAGATCGCTTGACACTAGAATCAAAATGGACTCTGGCCAGCTGCCCAGTGTAATAGCCGTGGACGTCCTTTCCTTGATGGGCAATGAATATCCTAGTAGAGACAGTAAGGGGAGAGAAAAAAAGCAATGATTACAGTTAGTTCTGGACAGGAGACCAGCTGTCATATAATTAAAAAAAGGTATTTGGTCTTTGCTCCCACTTCTGGCACAGAAGTCCTTGGACTTTTTTTTTCCTTTTCACTTTTAATTAATTTTCACTTCAAGACTTTATTTTATTTATTTCAATTACAGTTGACAGTAAATATTATATTAGTTTCAGGTGTACGGCATAGCTATTAGACATTTATATAATTAACAAAGTGATCCTCCCGATAAGTCTGGTACCCACCTGGCACCGCACATAGTTTTTACAATAGCATTGACTCTATCTCCTATGCTGTGCACCCTTGGACTTTCTTGACAGGAGTGCCTTTTTTACTCATTTTCAGGATTCAGTTTTCAGGAATCAAAAGGAAATATTTGACGTTGTCAGGTATTAGGTTCAAAATATCAGGGGGAAAATGATGATATTTAAAACCAGGGGGTGAGGGTGGAAATGTCGATCATTGTTGAAAAGTGGGAACTGGAAAATGGGGGTTTCTTATACTATTTTTTTCTACTTTTGATGTATTTACAAACTGTCATAATAAGTTAAAAAAACTGATAATTAAGTAGATAGGTGCTAAAAAAAGAAGCAGCACTGGGATGGTCTATTGTAAGCCTGGGAGGGCTGGGTCGGGAGGGAGGTTTGGAGCACAGACAGGACTGAACGAGGCAGAAAACGGCAGGAAGAGCTTCCAGGGCGTGAGGGTGAGACCCATGTATACAGCTGGGGGGGGGGGG